AAAAAAAAAAAAAAAAAAAAAAAAAAAGTGAACAACAACAAAAAAAAATTCTGTGCTTTGTTCTCCTTCCGCGCTCATTGTGGAGCTGAAAAGTCGACAACGAGCAGTTGAAATAGAAGAGAGTTTTTAAGTTCAGGCTAGGTCATTCAGTATGTTATTACGCCTTCTCGAGCAGAATGTCTTTTCGTAGGGAGCCACTCCGAAACTGAAAGTCCCCACTGAGCCAAGTTGTGGAATAGAATTATACGCTTGTGCGACTTGAGAAGATGGCAATGCTTGTGAAAGGAAATTATTCTTGCAACTATTCCCAATGATTTTGTGTAGTTTAAACTTTTTCATTCAAGAAACCTTTTAAATGTTTTCTCGGTATTGTATACGTGCATTCTATCAGTGCTGTCTGAAATATCATCGCATTCATATAATGTTTTTGAAATAACTTGCTAATGCGAAGCAGAAAATTGAGTGACCCATTGATATTTTTAATATATATTTATTTTTTGAAAGGCCTCGGCAACCTGCTATGTAGACTCCTTTTGTGTGTCATCCAATAGGAATGACTTCTTTGAGTGGAGGTTTTGTACGGCAGGGAACGGAGGAACACCTTCGTCGCATCGTTTATTTATTTATTTATTTATTTCCGACAAAAACAGTTAAAAACTGTGTATGACATGCTATGGGGAGAAGTTAAATTGAAGTTTCATTTATTATAATTTATCGTTCTGAAGGTATTTGTCAAATAACATTACTTCTTTGAAGTTTGAAAGAAAATTTATAGTTTTAGATCTGCTAGCTATGAAAAATTTACTTTGATCAGACTTTTAAACTGCGCGCCCTTTCAATCGACGCGATGAGTAACAAAATCGCTCTCGGAAGGTGCTCCCAGCTTTTTCACCTCTGTGTTAATCACTCACGGCGCTCCCGAGGCTACAAGAAAAAAAAATTAATAAAGCCTTGCGGGTCGAATGGAGGAACTCCTCCTTTTATTGATGTGCCATCTAGCGATTTCTTTCAACTAAATCAACACATCCAGAGGCGTTGGGATGCGATGAGTCAAGGCACAAGCCGGCAAATGGCGGCCGCATCTTACAACGTGACCAACGGAAACTCTGGTGAAGGAGTAAATCGCACCGATTAAACAAACAAACAACTTCTGTAATCCGCATGTTGACGTATGTAATATATTTTTTTATATGTTTCAATTAAATCCGTTTATGCTACCCTTTCCTCCTCATAAGAAGCATACATGAGCCAACACAGCTTCTTTGCCTTCGACGAACTGTGCTGTTATAACGAAAAATCGCACACACTTGAGGTTTTGGAATGCGTTTTGAGAGTAAATTTGTTTTTAAGGAGCACAAATGATTCCCAAAGTTTTCCCCCTTGGCGTGAACGACACGCGTCACATCAATATTTGCAACCGAAGTCCATCAGTCTCAGACGGAATCGAACCTGGGAACTTAAGATCAAGCTGGCAGGCTAGGAACATGCGGCATCTAATCGAAAACACGCGAGGGCATGTGCGCGCAGCCTGTGTACTAACCACGGGAGGGGAGAGGGCTTTCCGATACAGTGCCTTTGACTGAACGCATAACAAATTGCCTTTTTTTCAGGTGTTACCCTCAAGTTGCAAGAAGCGAGGTTAATTGTATTGTCGACGGAGCAACTCATGCCCGTTCTTGAAAACCTATCTGTATTCTGTTTTTTAACATTAACTGTCCGTTCAAAATTTGTACAGTTCATGACCATTTGGCGAATGGTTGGAAAATATGACTCGAGTGAACTGTTGAACGGTAACCGCACTTCTCAAATTAGATATTCCATTCGAATTGTTGGTAATGTGCTGTTTTTAAATTTGTAAAACTTCCATGAGCCATTCCTAAAGACAGGTTCCAATTTCCTTTAGATGACTCGGAAGTTTAGTTCTAATCAGAGGCTCGTATGTTTCCCAGTTCCGGAACGTTTGATTTGTATTAAGGGGAAGACTTGAAGAACAAATATTTTTATGTAAAAGAACAATTTTTCATTCCGCCTTCCCCAAAGCAGAAGCACCGGTGGAACGTACCGGTACCAGTGCACACGTACTTGTAATTAAAATGGTTAGTGGAACACATTCGATCTTCTGCTGTGCGCTGGCAAGATATTTCAAAGACAATTGTAGTGAGCACGTTATTAATTAATTACTCTGGAAGTTAGCTTCGCAGTTCTGTCTCTCAATCTCTGAGAGGGACTTTGCTAATTGAATCTACTAATTATGTTGTGAACATTGCGCAGCATTGATGAAAATCACAATATTTTTAAGCTGAATTCAATCATTTTATTGAAAAATTAATAGTTTTGAAAAATTACTAAGATGTCTTTATTGAATTGTTGGAGTCTTCGTTGGTGCCAGATGGATGAACCACAGAAAGGAAAATTACACTTGCAACAACAAATATCAGACTTTTTGGAACACATTGAAGATATTTAGCCTATTTGTCACTGAATATATTTATTCAAACTAGATTCAAACCTAATTTTATCGAAGAAAGGGATAAAACAGTTTGTATATTAAACGAATTGTCCCATATTATCACTTTGTTACTGGATACCAATAAAGCTCGCCCTGTTAGTGCCCGATTTACCAGCTGTTAATTGTTTGATTGTTTTCATTTGCGTGTCTGTTGTTAAATCTTATTGGTAGTGAAGAAATGTGCGCCCGCGGTTGTAACACAACAAAAGAAATGCTGCGGGATGAGTGGTAGGAAAGAAAACGCGTTTCCACTCAAGGTGAGTGCACAGCTTTGTCAGGTAAACACAATTTCTCGGGAAGCACGTTTGCTCATTAAATCATAGTGATTGCTATACGTAAATATTAGTGTTACGATATCACAAGTGAATCAGCTTACGAAACAGATCGGTGACCTTGTTTTACTTGGATGCACACCTTTTCGACTTCCAATTTTGAAAATATATGCTTACCTTTTTTCATGAAGCTTCAAAATACCCCCATGTCTACGCATGAATTAGCCTCTTATTTTTTCTTATGATATTTTCCAGCATATGAATTATTCTTTTGCAAAGTATTTGAGCATGCAGTGCACTCCCTTTTTCTCTAACCAGTCATCACGCATCACTTGCGCTCTTTCTGCGTGTTACTGCGCGAAGGATCGGCGCCAAGCGCTGGGGAAGGGCGGTGTGGCTGAGAGATGGGGTGGGAGAGCGCACCAACGGAACTGCAAGGTGCACTGTCCAGATGGCTACTTCTACATCGGGTTTCGTTCAGTGGAAAATGGATTTTGAGCATGAAGAATGCTCATGACGCTAAAAATTAGAGAATCGGCGTACTAGAAAATGGGCGGTAACGGGATGCTTCTGATAGCTTAGCGATTACAGAATTGTGCTGCTAATGGTATATTGCTCCTGCCTTTTGTGGCTACTCAGGCGTTCACGCAGCACTGTGAGGAGGAGGGTGGAATTGCACTGTCTGAGAAAAGGAGATTTTTGTAATTTACGAGGGGGTTGTTAACTCTCAGTTGTATAACACTCTGAATATAATGAAATTATGGAACGGTCAAAACATGGAAAACAAGTTACTCAGTAAATCTGTCAAAGTTTTCAGACGTATGCTTCTCAGTATGTAGATAATTAAGTGCAAAGATATAGTGAATACTTTGTGAGAATTGTGTAACATTTCCAAAATTCAGACAGTGAAGCGTGTGAACACATTCGTTGTCGCATGCATCAAAGCCGATTATCAGAACAAGCGCGGGGTTTGTAATATACAAGTTATTGTCAAGAATTAAATATTAATAAAGAATAGGTTAAACAGAATGTTAGTTGCTGAATTTAGTTAGAATTAATTATGTTTTTCATTAAAATAATGCCCAAGTTTGATTTTTTAAAATTATTGATTTAAGAATATAACATCAATACTTCGAACTTCTGAAGATAAAGCAATCATTCAGCAAACATATCTGTTATGCCACAGCAAATTATACAGTAGTATGTTGTATTTTATAACTACGTATTACTTACTATGGCTGAAGGGTATAAAGGGATCGTTTAGTTAATATTAGAATCTTGTAGGAAGTTCTAGTGAAATGATTAAATGCAGCACGATTTCCTTGGGAGATATCATTCTTTTTAAAAAGACATGCTCCTCCTTTTTTTTATCTAATGATGCACAAGAATTATTACAATTTTAGAGCATGCTCGTGAATGCTTATATTTCATCCTGAATTGTGGGAACAGTTTCCCTAATCTACTCATTAGTAATCAAACAATACGCACAGTAGCATATGATTTTTTAGTCTGAAAATTAAATAGAGATGAAAATATTTTAAATTCCCGGGGCATTATAATGTGGCACATTATAGAATGAAGGATATAATAAATTAATTGGAGCTATGGTAAATGTTATATTCAAGCAACATGTTAAAAAAAAGAATTTGTTTAAGCGTCAATTTTAGTTGAGTAGTCAATAAATTTTGTACGGAGTGGATAATAGCAAAAAGAAAGGTATTTAGTACACAAAACACGAACAATGTATATCTGAAAATACCATAAACAGTTTGAGGTTGCCTTTAGACGCAATGAATATAAAGTATGCAATGTTAATTAGTATACATTTTAAAATTTATATAATTAATACATATTTTTTCAACACAAATATCAGATATGTACTCTATGCAAGGAAGATACTGCGTATTATACGAGATGCTATGACTACAAGTTATCAAGGAAATAATTTTGTTATTGACCACATTATTTTTGATGAATGTGGCGTTATCATTTTGTGATTATAAATTTAGTAGTGTGTGGAATTTTAGGAGCAGTGTCGGATCCATGGGGGTAAAGCTAATTCTTTTTTTTTGTAATTTTACAAATTTTATTCAAAACAATTACGGTATACACATCTCATCACATCCAAATCAGTATTCCCATTATGTCCCCGCACTTTCGTTTTTTTTAAAGTCAACAATGAAAAAAATGATATTTCAAAATTAATTAACGAACCGAAATTGTCCTTCCCCTCCCCGGAATACACCCTGGATCCGACCCTGCTTAGGGCTTCGCTTCGTGAAGCCAGGGCCAGCCACTGCAGGCCCGAGTCTAGTATTTGTGCCGGTGGCAGCGTCGCCGGGCAACCTCAAGCGTGGGAGCGCCGCAGGGCGCCTGCAGCGCCTGCGGTGCCCTGCGGTGCCTGCGGTGCGCAGCGCCCGGGGCGGCGGGGCGAGGCGGGGCCGGCACCGCCCCGGGGAGGCAACTCACTTCCTTGTTGGCCGTCTCGTCCTCCGTCCAGCTGAACGACGAGTACTTGTTCTGCAAGGCACACACATGACACGAGGCATCGTCAGCAGGCCCTCGCCCGCGCCCTCGCCCTCGCCCACACCCCCCAGCGCTCTCGAAAGGCGACGTCGGATAGCACTCCCCTCTAAGACGCGTCGGACCGCCGCGCTGCTCTGCGCTGCGCTGGACGGCGTCTCATTGGCTGAACGAGCCACCGCTCGCGAATAGTGATGGAGCTTTCGTCTTACTTGTCCATCCACTTTCGTCCTACACTTGGATCCTTAGGGACGTTTGCTGGAGGACGAAGTTTCTAGCCTTTGGAACTTTCAGCATCAACGCCTTTGCATGCCAACTGGCCACCAGGTGTTCAGAAATGAAACAACCTTGAACAGCATCTAGTAGCTGAGGAGACACCTCTTCAAATTAGTGCGGATGACGGTAGCAGTGCCAGGGGCAGCAGCAGTAGCAAGGGCAATGTTGCAATTGATGGTTACGTAAGACACTGGTATTGTTTTGTGGAAGCACATACACAGCCTTTTTGACAAGTCGCAACTTTTGAAAAGACTGACTGGAATTAATCGCCTCCACATTTGAAGTTGCTTCCACAATTTATGTCTGGAGATACATGCAAGTTAATTTTAAAATGTTGCTTATTGATCAAGCTGACGTCGCTAAGCATGGTTTGTGAAAAGACTCAGAAGGTGCAAAAATGATTTTGTCTACTTCATGCTGCTTATAAATTGAACGTGCATTTAGCAGAATATTGAAAGCTTATGGCTAAAGGTGATTGAATTGAGCCAAATGTTCCAGACACGAAGTAAATTGAGCTTTTCCAAAATTTACAATCGTATCTAAAGAGATTTGAGTGTTTCGTGTATTTGGGAATAAGCAGCAAATTTAAACAATTCATAGCAATTCATGCGAGAAATTGAAATTGTTTGTTCTTACTTTTGATTTTATTAATTACATGATATTGTTACTAAAGATTTCGACGAGGAGAAGAATTATACATGCCAATTTATTACTAATATTATTATTACAATTGTTATTCTCCATGAATAAATCGAAACAATAACTATGCAAAATGAAGAAAACATAAGAATAATTAGGAAATGTAATTTATTAGTGAATTTTCATCTGTCAATTAGTTCCATCACTACTCGGAGCGCCAAAATGCTCATTTTGGTGTTTTCTCCGTTCTATGTCCGCTCGTCTTTGCAGAGAAACGAGTTATGTATTAAGAAACAGAGCAGTGAAGACTTGCACGTGTCCTAAGAAGATTTCTCGGCTTCAGCCATGGCACCAGCGTATGTAGGTGGCAGCGGAAGTATGGCTTCGTGCAAAAGGGAAAATTCTATTTTACTAAGAGATGTACCAGATTGACGAGGAGAAAATTCATGCTCAGCGAGACGAGGAATTGTTTCACTGAATGGAGAAAATTGTATGAAAACCATGCACATTCCACACGTGTTATAGGGCAGTTTTATCCGACATCGACTCTGGGCGTGGGAGCGTGTGAAGGCCGCCGAAGGATGTACCCATCGCATGTAAGGCAGACCAGGGCGAAGAGTTACTTGTACTAGGTGGACATTATACACTCTACAGAAGGAATCCACGAGTTTGTATTTCTGCTAATGTTTTTCATGTGAACTTGAACATAGAGAGAAATAACAATACATTTTATGGAATAAATTATTACACATTTTATAACAATTTGAAAGGAAATTGTTATGATACTAAAACAATTATTAAAAAGTTATGTTCAAAACACCCTTTGTTATGAGTTTATTTTCTCTATAATAACAGAAAAGGGCACATTAAGAGGATGACTTTATATTCACATTTTAGGATGATTTTTTTTTTAATTTACAGCTAACGTTAGAATAATATCGTTCTGATACTATTTTCTGAACTATTTTAAATTAAAATACTGTAAATTGAAATTACGTGAATATGGAATTTTCGGTTTGGACAAACTATTCAGTGTGGGAACGGATAGTTCCAAGAATTTATTACAGTACAAATGCGCAATGAGAAAGATTACGCCATTGAATAGTTCAACTTACTGGTCATTTTGCTTTGTGAAATAGTAGGTCCCTCGAGGGAGCTAATGAGGTAGGTAGAGGGAAGGATCTGAGTGCGTCCCAGCGCAGAACGGCGAGGGTTGAAACGGGGACAAAGGATGCGTGTAGGGCTGGGGAAGGACGAAAGGTGTGGCCGGCCGCGTGCTCGCGGCCGTCGCCGAGCCCCTGCCTCCGCCTCTAGATAGTTACCTTGAAGGAGGAGCGGGAGAAGAGCGGCATGCCGTCCTCGAGCCGGCCCGACACCAGCCCCATGGTGAGCGGCGACCACGCCATAAGCCCCACGCCTGCGCACCACGCACGCACGCACACTCAGCTCAGTTCATCTTACATCACCTCAACTCCCCATTCCACACCCCCACCGCACCTTACAACATCTTACCTTACCTCACCTCACCTCACCTCACCTCACCTCACCTCACTTTAGCCCACCCCACCCCACCCCAGCTCATCTTACCTTTCCTCACCTCACATCAACCCCCCACCCACACCCACCTCACCGCACTTGACCTCATCTTACTTTACTTTACCTTACATTACCCTGCCTCAACCTACTTTACCTCAGCCCACCCCACCTCACCTTACCTCATCTTATCTCGTGCCCCTCATTTCCCGTCTTCTCATCTCTCATCTCACTCAACTCATCCCACCTCTTTCCAACTCTCCTCATCACCCTTCATCTCATCACTCTTAACCCCAAACCACCTTACCCATCCCTCCTCAATTTTCTATACTGAACCTCAATTTACTTCAACTCTCCTTCGCTCATCTCGTCACACCTCATCTCACTTCATCTCATCTGTCATCCCACCACACCGCTTATCACAATTTTTCCTATCTCTCATCGTCACATCACACCTCATTATTCCTCAGCTCATCCCACCTCATCTCCTCCTCACCTCAACTTTCCTTCTCTCGTCTCACTTCATCTTTCCTTCCCTCATGTCACCTCTCATTTCGTTTCATCCATCCTCACCTTCTGTCACCCCTTTCCACTTAACCTTACCTACTCTTCATCCCAGTTTACATCTTCCCTCACCTTAATACCGCTCCTCAATCCTAGCCTCACATCTGTTTTTTTATCTGCCTACGACCTCTCTTCCCTTCTTAATACATCAAAATCATATTTTAGTAATGTTTATTCGTGATCCACATGTCTCGTTTCTTCGCTTGCTGCTTCTTTCAAGGTACTCGTATCTCTTTTTCTCCGTACAAACTATATCACTTTCTCTTCCGTTTTCAAATTCGTCATTTGGGGCAGAAGGCTATATCATCAAAACAAGCTTTCTCTTTAATCATCTCATAGCATACTTCTTCTTAATATCTTTTTTTGGAATATGTACCCGATTGTTAAACAAAGACAGTTCTTTAACATGAATAAAAAATATAGTGTTAATTTCTTTTTAGATATGCGTTTAATATCCATTCTGTCGAATCAAGCAATTGTTTACGTCAAAATTTACTACGAATATCTAGATTTTCGCCCTACACCCGATTAACAATACCGAGAGTAAAGCTGAAGCTGTTATGAGTAAAAGTTATGAGCATTGGGAATGTAATTCACTGCCTTGTGTGGGAAGTGGGTTGATTAGGCGCAGCGCAACAAGAGGCGTGGGTTTCCCTCCCTAATTGCAGCGCCCTTCCATTGCCCCAACGCAACCTTCGTGGCCCTCTGCCTGCTCCAGTTCCTACGCCCATGCCCCCCGCGGCCAGAAGGGCTTCGCCGACCCACTGCCAATGCCCTCTCTTCGTCCTCTCCCAAGTCGCAAGTCGGCGCTGGGGCCGCGGGGGCCTTGGAGCTGCTCGGTGATTAAGGCCTGACTTAATTGCATGACTTTGCTGTCTTCTTGTTAAAGTGGAGCGAGACGGAGTTGAAAATGGAAATAATCGTTTTGTGATATGTTGAATGTTTTTAAATCCAGTGGGAGTGTATAGAGGTTAGGCCAAATGATCAAAGGAATATAGCTTCCCATAAAATACATTTTAACCTGATATTTACACTTCTCAAATAATTGTAATATTTTCATTAAAATTAAACTTGATCAACATTTAACATATTGCAATACAAAATATTGTAAAATCATATTCACTAGAGAACAAATAGTTTTGTGTATCAATATCAATATTAACATAAAAGAGCAAATATGCTCCTAAACAAAATGACATCAACTAATTTCAATCAGTTTTTTGTCATAAATATTTCCTTTTATTTCAATTGTCAAAATTAGAGAGAGTCTTGAAGCGATAGAAGGGTCGATTTATATTTATACCGAAACAATATTTCTCACCTGACTACAAATCAACTAAATTTTGAGAAACACTTGACTCATAGTGTGTAATTCACACTAATATTTTGGTAATATAGAATAAGAACGAAACTTGCAGAACTTTGAATTATGGCAAACGTTTAAACAAACATTTGAAACAAAGAAGGGTCTCACTGTGCTTCGAGTCAACATAAATTACGTGGTCTTGTCTGTCGCAGGGTTAATGAAGTTACCATACCACCATCCATTTCTCGTTCACCACAAAGCTTCTTAATCGAACTAGGTGCACTTCCCAGGAGCTGTCAGCAAAGGGGAAACTTTTTACATTCCATCTTATTCTCACTTGAATGATGAATTACGCTGCCATATTCATCTTATTTCCTTCCTTTCGATTAACTTCTGATGTCGCGATCTCTGATCATCTCTTATGCCTCTAGTGGTACACCGATATATTTAACGCTGTGATGCTATTTTCCAGCCGGCGTAAAGGTGAACATACTTATAAAATTTCAGATTACTATGAAAATATTTCGTGTGATATGTAGAAAGTTTGTGTGTACATTATTTTGAAAATTTTTGATGAAACAAGCAACAAATATTTTTGCTACAGTCAAGCAAAATGCGAAGTCTTCAGTTCTCTTCACTTTATACGCCAGTGGCTCCTTATCCGAAGTGTGGCTTGTTGAAGTAGTTAACACCTTCCATGTCAAGCTTCCTGTCTATTTAGGGTCCTCTTAATATTCATTTCAAAGTGAAAGACGTTGATCCGTCCCTCAAAAGAACAAAAAACACATAGAACTACAAAAAATAATCATTAGGCCTTCATTTGTATTAGTATTTATTGTAAGAACTATGAACTTTGCATATCTTTCCATTGATTGAAGTGAAACACTTCAAAGATTAGTTTTTGGTTTGGCCTTGTAATACAATATAATGAACAGTGGAATTGGTAATGAAATAAATAAAATTGTGATGTGCCAATATAATTCCAGTCATTGACTTGCGGGAAACAAATTTTATGAGAAAAAATAGAAATTGAGCGAATAAAATCCTCTTGGAAAATACGTTTTTATTCACTAAGAATTTTAGAAAATAAATCGTGTTATTCAATTGCTTGAATTGTTAGATTTTACTGACTCTAGACATTGGAGGGAATATTATTAAAAGAAATCTTTTCAAAAACTTCTTGACGTGGAAAACTAGAGCATACATGTATCAACATGTAAAATAGGTTTGATGCATATGTTTATGTGAATGCTTCACCTTTTAATAGCATGTAATACACTATCCTCAAAATGCCCCACTCTTTAATAATGTAGCAATGCACTGGCGAAGATATTTTAAAATACTAAAATAAAAAAAAAACTTTTTAAGAATAGCAGAAACGGTATGATGTATGACGGTGCGGCCTGCGCGCGCTTTGACGTCGCTGGACGAGGCGGAGCGGGGCGGAGCGGGGCGGAGTGGGCCGGGGTGGGCCGGGGTGCGGCGGGGCGGGGTTGAGCGGCGCCCGGGCGTTGCGGCACGGGACCGCTGGCACCTCCGCAGGCCCAGAAAAAAGCAAGGAGGCGGAGGCGGAGGCGGCGGCGGCGGCAGGGCCAGAAATATCGGAGACAACGCGGGCAAGAGGTCTCTTCGCGCAGTTGTCGCGCCCACCGCCCCGCCCCGAGCCCACGCGCGTCTCCCGCCAGCGCCTCTCCCGCCAGCGCCTCTCAAGCCGTCACCAAGCGACGGGAGTGCTCGAGCAGGGCGCCGGGGAGAGGCAACCTGGCCTTTAGATATTGAATTGGCATTCAATCTTGGAACGTGGAAACGTTTGCATTATTACTATTACTACTACTATTATTATTATTCTTCCTCTAATTCACGACTAAAGATGTTATGAGATGGTTGGTAATAAAGTCTACTATGGGTTGCAACCACCTTCGTAAGGAGCTTATCTATGGACTGTCGGTGCCTCTACAATACTTTGCACAATATGTAGGCTGTTCCAGTTAAAGCAATGTCGTGCACTTCCCAGTCTTTTTAACGATCTGGGAGTTTAGCCAAGTTTTTACACACATTTTACGGAACAAATCCCTGAGCTCCGATAAATATCGGGTAGACTTTATGCCTTTACGCTTCACATTCGACTGATCTTGATTTCCAAACTCTTGTATTTAAGACCTTTCTCTACCTCTTTGGTCACGACGTTTTGATCGCAAGGCACATCAGCATCTACAAGTAGTCACGATTGTTTTCTGCAAATTCCGGATAACAATATCCGGTTTGTTTGCCGCTATGGTGCGATCAATTTGAATTTGATGGTAGAACTATATTGTACGCAGTCCAACGGACGACACAAGTTTTCATAAGTTTTCATAAGTTTTCATACTACTTGGAGCATGTGTTTAGAACTTCGAGGGAGGTCCAGATATACCAGTGGAAGTAACTACACACACTATCGTGTCTTTTCGTGCATTCGTAGCGTGATAGACTGGACAAGTTGAGACGATATGATCAATGGTTTCTACTTCTTCTTCGTAAATGCGCCATTTATCATTTCGGGAAAATTTGAGAACAGTTGTATCATAACGTCGTATTTTCCTCGTTTGATCTTGGGCAGCTATTAGAACTGCTTCCGATTCTGGCTTCATTTTCCTCCATGTAAGTCACATAAGTGATTGATCATTTTTAATATGCATCTTGTTCAATCTTTTTATGTGTTTATTATTATTATTATTATTATTATTATTTTGATTACACTCAAATTCCTGGTCTCTCACAGACGCCACACAATACCAATGCATGGTTCGTAATATGGAATATGCAAAACTTATTAAATGCTAAATCACCTCTATACTCGCTGAGAAAAAAGATGGATTATTTCATTTTATGAAAAACCACGGACACCAGAGCCCAAAAGTACATTACTACTAAATGTGGCATAACCTGACAGAAGATTTAAGAGAAACACAAAGAAGTTTGTAGGATTTTGCTTATGTGTATAATGAGGCGCACGTGCGCTCCACAAACCACAT